CCCCTGCATCGGCAGGCGGACTCTCAACCACTGCGCCACCAGGGAGGCCCCGACACATATGACTTTTAATCTATATATTAACTTAGCATGACAGGCATTAAGATTAAATGATTTGGTTAGTAGTTAGAGTGACAGGACCTAAACCCAGGTCAGGCCCCTTTCTATGCACCATAATGAAAACTAAGAAAGCAGAAGTAGAGGTAGGTAGAAGCATGGGGATATCAATGCCTTACCCAAAGAAGTCACGTTCCCATAATTCTCTAGCATCACATCCCTGTATAGGTTCCTCTGAGAAGCGTCCAGCCATCCCCACTCATCCTGGGAAAAGGTCACCTCCACATCCTTGAAAGTCACAGCCTCCTGAAAAAACATGGTCCTATGCTTTCGAGCCAATCCACAACTCCCAGCTTTTAGGAGGGTGCAGGTGAATGAGGCTGGCTCTGAGTGAGTACAGGATGGATCTGATAAAGGGGAAAGAGAAGATCATCACCCAGCAGAAGAGCTCTGGGCTCCTAGGGGATAATCTGGTCTCTGGGACATGCGTCTCGGGACGTGAGGTCACTGGACAGAAAGACACAGGACAGGGGGGAGCTACAGCTACCCCATGAGGCAGCAACGGTGGGACATCAGGAAGGACTGAAGGTCCTGTGGCTCACCTGAGGCTGGACTGTCACCAGATCTCCTGAACATCCCTCTCTCTGGGAAAGGGCAGGAACCTGTGCAGCAGGAGGATCTGAAGAAGAAAGAGTCATGAGACAGGGCAGCCCAGCTCTGGTATCCCACTGAGAAGCCCACTTTTCCCCCCACGTGGAGGACTCCCGGGCCCACAGGCAGGTATGGACTGTTTTCAACACCCATTTCACATTTCCCCGGTGTCTGCTGGGGTCAGGAAGCGGGGGGTACAATGGGAGGAGGAGGTAGGTAGACATGGGTCACAGGATAGAAAGGACACAGAGCTCAAGGCCAGGACAGAAGGGATTCTCCTGAGAGGACAGAGGGTGAAAAGACAACGTTATAGGAAATTCGGGAAGTGTGGCATAGGCTGGGGTCTTAGAGCCGGGCGGCAAGTACCGGGTTGCCCAGCCAGGAAGTCACGCACTCCTATTTCATAGGGAGGCTGCAGGTGGTCCCCCAGAGCCGAGCCGCTCCTGAGAGGTGAAGCAGGGGGCCATATCTGTGCGGCTTGCAGGGCTCCTGTGCCCATCCAATGCACATCTGGGCTCTGGGCAAGGGCTGGGTCCTGGCAAGAAGAAAATGTTGTGAGAGGATCCTCGTGGGAATCAGAAAGCAAACTCACAGAACAGGCCACATGGCCAATCTCTAAAAGGTAGAGGCCCAGGGAGCAGTGAGCTAGGCCCTTTATTACCTACAGGTAGAGGGAAAAGGAGGAATAGAAAGCCCAGGGAGGATCCCCTCACCCCTCCACCTCCCTGGGCTCTAATGCGGGCCATGGGGAGACAGGTGAAGCCAGATTCCTGCCTGACATAGGAAAGCAAATGGCAAGTCAGTGACAGCACTGCTGTCAGGCCTCGGGTGCTGCAGGATACCTCCCCACTAGCCCTCAGTCCCCACCCCTGGCCAGGAACTTAGAAATAAGAAATTTATCCCTGAGAGTTAAACTGATAATGGTTCACAGCAGAGATGCAGTCAGATAACATCTATCAAGTTTTGGGCACTGCTCTAGGTAATGATATGCAAAGTGACCTCAAAGAGGCAGGAAGGCTCCCAGACTATAAACCTGACTAAAATAGCAACACCACTAGAGAGACAACGCTAACTGTGAGGGTCAGCTATGGAATCACAGAAGAAAAAGTCTCAGGTGCAAAAACAGGGAGGTACCCATCCAAGCAGAGACCTGGAGAAAGGCGGTCTCTGTGCTGGGACTTCAAACAGTCCTGGTCTCTGGAGGCAAGGCTATCCCTGATGCAAAAGTGAGTATAGGAAGCTACAGCCAGTGAACTTCAGGTTTTTCTGGTCCTGTGGCCAAGACATTCTCTACACTGATATGGACAAATCTTAGCCTGAGGTCATTAAGTACCTAATACCGAGCTATAGACTGAAGAAGATAAAGTGATCACAGCAATTTATCTCCTGTTCCTCCCAAATCCTAGCAAAGGGAGAATAAAGAAACAATAACAATATGGAAGCACAGACAAATGAATTTAAGGACAAACTTTCTCAGGCCCCTGTTTCTCAAATTTTGGTAATTTTGATAAACTAAAATGTATATGCATCTTGAGCATTTCTGTTCATTTTTTAGAATCTGGTAGGCTTTTTTCCAGGCTCTGTTTTTTGTTTTCTAATTTTTATCTAGCTTTCAACCAGGTAGGCCCTTTCCGCTCGTTTGGCAATGTTTTCATGGATTTTTAAACCACACACCTAGCTCTCGACTGACTTAAATATACCCAAGCCACAATTTTGTACCTACTATGTACCTTATTTGCTTTAAAAGTTATCTTTAGGTCATTTTGAACAACTCTTGGTTTTGGTAAAAATTATAAATGTTCTTTTAGATTTTAAAAAGTAGTACCCAATGTTGGGCAAAAAGTTTTCTTGTTTAATATTTGTTACCATTTATTGCTGGTAGACAATGTTCAATGTTTTGATTGATCTAATTTTTATATTAAATTTAGGGGAGAAGTATGTCAAATATGTTTCAGAAATCTTAAAAGTAACTTTCATTTATGCATGAATCATACATGTAGAATTACACATACTTTATAAAATTTTTTAAAAGCCTACAAAAATGATAAATGCGTTTTAAAAAAAAAAAAAAAACCTCAAAGGTATGGAGAAGTATTGAGAGGCTGGCCTGAGTGGGGCAGAGGGGCACGCAGAGTGCAGTTTAACTGACCCACTGCTCTACTGCCTGCACTGGGACTGTCAGCTCTGTTTCCTAGCACCAAGCCCAGGGCTGGGCACATGGTAGGCACTCAAATATGTAACGAACAAATTCTCATCGTTAGATCAGTTTTCCATTTTGTTTTCAAAAACTGAGGCTCTGAAGGTACCACAATGTTGGCAAGAACACCGAGGTTGTGGAATGCAGTCTAAAATTGTGATCTTCCAATTTCCTAGCCCTGGGCTGCCTCTCACCACTCTTCTTCCCCATCTCCCCTGCAAAGAACAAATCCTCAAAAGTTTACTGAGAAAGAAGTAACATGGTTTGTGTAGACTGCTCTTCTAGGTCTCAAGATGTACTTAGAGCCAAGGATCCTGACACTAATTCCCCCATGTATGAGCAAGAGATACCACCCCCACTTTACAGGTTAGTACAAGTCAAGTTAGGTATGTGGAGATGTACTTTATGCACTGTTAAGTGTCCAAAACCTCATTACTGTTTATGGATACTTGCAGACCCTCTTCTTCCTGGAGCTTATATTCCACTGGGAAAGAGGGAAGGGCTGCCTGCTAAATGGTCTTTTGCTTAGGGTCGAGTTCTTAGCTGCTCAGGTGCCATGGGAATGAGAAGGGAAGACTTCCCCTGAATTCCTCCGTGTTGAAGGTTCAGAGGCCCACCCCCCCCCCCC